GGGACCAGCTCTGGAGGTGGAGAGGAGAATGAGGGACCAGCTCTGGACACAGAGAGGAGAATGAGGGAACAATGCCCAACCATAAATGCCAAATGCCTAATGAGAAATTTGGTTAACAAGAAATTCAAAACAGCTGAACCCCACAGCGGACAACCTACTCAGAATGTAAGGACTCCACGGAGATCAGGGGCGACCAAATATAGCCTCTCTGTGCCCTCTGATTTGGGTCAGAGCCTGATCTTCTGGGCTACACATCCATCCATCCATCATTCATTCATCCATCCATCCATCCATCCATCCATTCCAGTGACTGACAGCTAGGGGGCATATGAAACTGTGCTGGATCCTGACTTAGCATTGCAGGCACATGAGTGAATAAGCAGACAGGATTATTTGGGAACAGTCTGGAGGGCTTCCCTGTCCCTGAGCCCAGCTCCAGCAGTCACCAGGGCCGCAGAGCCAGCCCATTCACACTGCCCTCCCTCTTGTTGCCTCTTGACAAAAAGGACTTGATCTTGAACTGTGTCAAACCTGCCTGCTCTCTTCATTTCAGACTGGGAAGGTGTCCTGCTGTCCAGTTGCTCAGCTTAGCTCACGATCTTTCCATATTCCTCTATGACTGAAAGCAGATTTTTAGGCAAAAGCTTTTGATGTGATTTTCTTATTTATTTTCTCTGGTTTGACATTTATTAAAAATAACCCATGAACTATAGCAGATAGTAGATGTTGTCATGTAAAAGTTAACCCCTGTTTGCTTCTTTTTCCTTAGTTAGAGCATTGAGTCATCCTCAGATGGTCTTGGCATTGCTCAGTTTTTAATCCCATCAAGTGTGGGCTCTTGGGTATATATAATTTATGTGTGTCCCGGCTGGTTCTGTAGAAGGTGTGTGGGCCTGGGTGTACTGAGCTTGAGCAGCTCACCCTTGTTGATGGCACCAATGACGGTCTTCATTTGATCTTCCCTTTAGTTATCTTGCTACAACTCACATTCTGTGTTATTTGCTTTCTGTCCTTGCTTTTTAAAAAATTTATAGTGAATCTAAATTATAGAATCTCTCTCAGCCCCTTGCTTTCTCAGTTGTCAGTTCATTAAAAAGTTTTCATTTGGCTTTCATATTATTTCAGCATGGCATATTTATAAAAAAAGTCATTTTGAGAAATATCTTTATTTAACTGGCTGAAATTGTTCCAGAGCTTAATTAGAAGTAGCATATTGCAACTGTTTGGGTGCTGTCTTGAGGCAGAATGATTACCATGTAATAATAATGCATGTTCTAGTAAACTTGCCTTTATTGTCATAGAGGGCTGGAGGGAGGCTCTTCCTTCAAGCTCAGAAGGACCCTGAGGGGACCCTAGGCAAAAGCTGAGTTCTAAAACTGAAGGAAAAATCACGGGGTGGTCAGTAGCCCAGGGTTTTGTGCTGCGTGAGAGCTCCACCCTCTAATGACAGGGAGTGGTCTCGCTCCACTGACAATCGGGAGACTTTCTCTGGCTGCTGGGGTTAATGCAAGTACAGGTTCCCAGATGCTCTCTGAACACGGTTGCCAAGGGTCAGAGGGGCAAGGCAGACCATTTTCTCTTTAGGCTTGCATCTTGCACTTCTGAGGGCTAAACCTGGCACAGGAGACCCCAGCCCAGGCCTGGAGAGCTGATGAGGCTTGCAAGGTGTGCTGTAGATACAAGACATGTCCTAAATTGAGTGATTTTCATCCTGGTCCTGTATTTGTCAAGACTCCCTGTGTTCAGCTTTTCTCAATAAATCCCAAAATTCAGCCATAAGAGCTACTTTTGAAATTGAACTGGGCAGCTTATAGTTGTAATATCTGGCAACTCTCTGGCTGATGGATGCTGCTGCCCATTCTGTGCCCCTGGTATATGACAAGGCCAGGATCCCCGTGTCCCTCCACTGATAGTCACTTAAAACGCAGATGCCTCCTTTTTGGTTCTATTGGATGCCACCAGGGAAGAATTCAGATAAGTCTGGCCACAGTTTTCGTCAGCAACTGAGAGGGCACACTCCATCACAGGCCATTTGTCACACCCGTTTTGGCCCCGGATCCAACCATAGGTTCCTTAATGAGATGCTGTCTGCAAACCCCCTTTCTTAGAGCTGTCTGAGTGTGTGAGAAGCTGCAGTGTTGGGCAGGAGGTGGGGATCGAGACCTCCTTAAAGCCCCAAGGAGGGAGTCCCTTTCCTCCTCCTCCCGGGCTTCCTGGCCTTCGGGGGGCTCTGGGACAGTCTGAGGTGGGCGGCTTCTCCAGGCATGCACGGCTAAGAGACCATGCTTTCGGAGAGCCCTGGTTCCTGGGAAGTAACCTAGATTCTTCTTATACTCTTCTGGCTGCTTCCTGCTGTCTAAACAGGGGAAGTGTAATTAAGTTTATTATCTGTGACCCAGTGCTAATTCTCCTTGCATCCTGCCTTTGTGCAGAGGGAGAAGGGTCCCTTAAAGAGAAGTATCTGGACTGAGCTTTATTACCGTGAACAGTCTCAAGGGCAGTAAAACAAATCTGCAGGATGAACAAGCTGGTGGAAGGGTTAGTCCTCTGGAGTCATTTATAACCTCTCAAATTACATATCCCAACATAGAAAAGTTAAAGTCCAGGTATTGAAGGATGTGATATTTTGCTCTGGGTGCTTAAAAATTGTACATTATCAATGGATTAATGAATTAAAATTCCTGCTAACCTTCTTGTCAAATCACTTACACATCTACTATAGCTTTTTTATTTGAACAAGTCATTGGTTACCAAAATCGACATTTCCAACAGAGGATGAATGACACCGAAGTAAGCCATACCTCCAGGGGCACCAAAGTCAGCCATACCTCCAGGGGCACCAAAGTCAGCCATACCTCCAGGGGCACCAAAGTCAGCCATACCTCCAGAATATGTCACCAGACCACTCCACTCCCGATAGATGGTGTATCACAGCATGTTTAAATGCTTACCCATAAAAAGCCAGCTATAAGCAAAGGCCAGTTTAATAATGTTCCATGAAGACATGGTGACTTGGGAAGAGGATTTAATTAGCACCTTTTCCTTTTTTTTTTTAAATTAGGATAAAGAAGATGTGGTCCATAGATACAATGGAATATTCCTCAGCCATCAGAAAGGATGAATACCCAACTTTTACATCAACATGGATGGGACTGGAGGAGATTGTGCTAAGTGAAATAAGCCAAGCAGAGAAAGTCAATTATCATATGGTTTCACTTATTTGTGGAACATAAGGAACAGCGTGGAGGACATTAGGAGAAGGAAGGGAAAAATGAAGGGGGGGGGAATCAGAGGGAGAGATGAACCATGAGAGACTACAGACTCTGAGGAACAAACTGAGGGTTCTAGAGGGGAGGGGGGTGGGGGGATGGGTTAGCCCGGTGATGGGTATTAAGGAGGGCACGTACTGCATGGAGCACTGGGTGTTATACGCAAACAATGAATCGTGGACCACCACATCAAAAACTATTGATGGACTGTATGGTGACTAACATAACATGATACAAAAAAAAGAAAAAAATTAGTTTTTTTTTAGTGATACTTCTCATATGTTACTTTCAGATGCTGGTATTTTGGTCAGTTTCTTTTATTCTGCATGTGCTAATTTCCTTGGTTAATTTGGAGCACATCTGCATATAATTCTCTGGGCTTTTTATTGGCACAACCTCATATCTTTTCACAGGACTTCGAGAGTTCACTTTCCAGACAGACTCGGGTTGTATCTAATTGAAATGCCAAACCTACAAAGGTGCCAGAGCCTAAGTGTGTAATTATGTAATTTTCTCTTGATCTTTCAGAGTCTTCCTGCGAGCGATTAATCAGTATGCAGACATGCTGAACAAAAAATTTCTGGATCAAGCCAACTTTGAGCTACAGGTAAGAGAAGACATGCCCTTTGTTGGGAAATCATGCTAAAACAAATCGCCGGTCGGAGCCAATATCTTAGATTTCTAATTCTCGAACTTAATTGGTTTCCCATGCAAGGTATGGAAATGGAATTCACAAGATGTACTACTGGAACCCAAGGATTGAAAATCATGCCTTTGGAGTATTTGCTCAATTTAGCAAGGAGAGAGATGGAGCGGTTTCAGAGCAAACATGTGGAATCAGAGTGACAAATAGGGACTTAGCTGGGAGGCCACCCATATCTGCTCTAGCGGAAGAGACTGTCTCAGACCCAGACCGTCCAATGTTGGGAGGGAGGGATCCGCAGAGGCAGCCAGGCGGATTTGCACCCCTGAGCTCTGCTGGCTTTGAGAACTTGGTTCCCTGCTGGTGCCACCTGCAGTGGCCTTTACCAGGCACAGACCCTACCCCACATGGCTCTGGGTTGGGTCAGCTGATCTATCAGTTTGCGCCCTGTTTCTTCAGTGCTTGCAGAGAGAGGCAGGGGGTGTGTGTGATAACAATTGACGCTGCCTGGCATGACTTACCACACATCTGGTGTTTGTGGCTTTCAGTTTAATTGCACTCTGGGTGTATTTCTGCTAATAATGATTTTTTTTATTACTTAGTTTACCAAAGCTTCCTGGGCAGGACTGTTCACTGAGACAGAACCTATGCCATATTTCTTTTATAATTTTTAAATGGTAAATGTCTGTTTTATCTGCACTATGGAATATAAGTGTATATTAATATATCAGGAACTGTAGATCTTAAAGTGTTACTATTTTTTACAGTTTTTAAGATTTTATCATTTTCTCTGCTTAATGCTTGTTTTCCCACAATCCTAAAACACAGGTATATTCTCGTTGTAAAATATTCATGCCCTGTTAATCAACACAGCAGGTGAAATATGAAAGACCCCTCCTCACCCTGTCCCCTCTGCGGAGTGACTGAACTAATTGTGGGTGCTGCCTGATGCCTGCTTAAGCAAATTTATCCAGACCTGTGCATGCTTTTCTTTGGCTTTTAACCCAAACTGGGTTATATCCTGTATATTTTTTCCTGTTCCGTCACATTTAGCAAGAGACATGTACCAACATTTGTGCAGGCCCTCCTGCACTGAGGAGGACCTCCGGGCTGTTGCAGTTTGTCCATGTTACAAGCAGTGCATCTCGGTGCTGCATTGCTGTAGACGGGCTCCTGGAAGCGTAACTGCCAGGCCGAGTAGTAAGAAAGTGCACGTGAATGGGCGTTGACAAATTATCCTCCGGTAGCAATTTGCAATCCCACCAACCTTCTTTGAGAGCAGCCACTGTCTAAAACCATCTCCAGGACCAATTTCTTTAAAATCGTTGTCTCTTATTTTTGTTGGAATTTCTCTGATTGCTGCTTAGGCTGAGAATACTTACTGGCTGTGTGATTTCTACTGTGAACCGTCTGATCATTTCCTGTACTCATTTTTCTATTGGGCTATTTGTCATACTTTTCTCTAAGTTGAAATTTGTAATATAGCCTGTTCATGGGTTTAGGCTTATCACACAGAAATTTTTAATTTTTCTGCAGTCAAATCTGTCATTTCTTCTATGCCTCTTGGGTTTTATGTTTTGCTTGGCAAATCCTTCTTTGCCTCAGTGTTATAAATGTAACTATTTTTTTTTAACGTAGTGAGTATGTGCTAATACCTTTATAATTCTGCCTTTTTTTTTTTTAACTTCCTGATGATTAATCTAGCTGGGATTTTCCTATTTAGTGTTAGGGCTAAGAGTTTAAACTTAACTTTTTCCCATATCATTTCATGAATAGATTCGTCTTTCCCCATGATTTAAAATGCCACCATAGAAAACATAATTGCAAATGTATCAGTATGTGTATCTATTCTACTTCCTGTGTTATGACCTTCTGGTTTTATACCTTGCTAGTAGAGCCAGAACTTCCTTATAGGGTGCCATTGCAAAATTATCTTGGCTCTTCTTTTGTATTTCCTTTCCTTTTTTTTTTTTTTAAATTTTTTAAGATTTTATTTGTTTATTTGACATAGAGCACAAGCAGGGGGGTGGCAGGCAGAGGGAGAGGGAGAAGCAGGCTCCCCACTGAGCAAGAAGCCTGACCTGGGGCTCCATCCCAGGACCCTGAGATCATGACCTGAGCCGCAGGCAGATGCTTAACCCACTGAGCCACCCAGGCGCCCCTTTGTATTTCCTTTTCCATATGAAATGCAAGATCAGCTTGTTAACCTTACTTTTTTAAAATGCTGCATTTATTTTAATTGGGGATCCATTGAGTTTATAAATAAATGTAGGGGAAATGTTACAGAATTGGGGGGAATACTTTGCAGTATTTCTTTTTTTCCCATCCCATACAGGAATATTTAGGTCTCCTTTTTGTGTCCTTCATTAGAGTTTTCCATTTTATCCATCTGAGCCTCACCCAGTACTCACTGGGTAGATTGTCATGGATGTGAAGAGTAGCTGCTGTGAGTGTGGGGCTCCTTTTTCCCAGCATGTCCCGTATTGCTGCTCTTGTTCACTGTTTCATGAGGAAGGTCCCAAGGCTGCTTCCCTCATGCCCACATACCTCCACAGCCGTGTGCTCTTTGGAACAACATAGCACCTTGGCCCTTGCCAAGTGTGAAGTGCGTACGGATTGCTGTTCCACCCTGAAGCGCCCCCACCCTCCTACCCTCGGTGGCTGGCTTGGGTGCCATATGGTGGAGACAGCCTTCGGTGTGAGCTCCAGGGCTGCTCTGACCAGTCACGTTATGTTCTTACATCCTGTTCTTCACCGCACAATTCTGTCTACAGACGCCTCCTTCTCCCTGAACTCATCAACCCTGAGGGCTGCCTGCCACTTCCCCTTCTATGTCCTTGTGCTCTAGCCCAGGCTGCCTCCCAGTCCTGGCAATACAGCACAAAGGACTCTTTACCTAACCCTCCCCCCCACCTCCCAGTGTCATAGTGTGTATTTCCTACAAACAGGAACTTTCTCCTGCATAACTGCAGTAAAGTACCCAAACCAAGCCTAACAGAAGTACTACCATCTAGTCCTCAGACCCCGTTCAAGTTCAGACATCCCAGTACAGCTGTCATGGCTCAGTGCTAGACAGGTGGGGTGACTTGGCATACCTCAGATCTTGCATTGAGTACTATTTTTTGGCTTATATTTTTATGTTATTTTTTAAAGACTCTTTTTTTAACATTTTATGTATTTAAGAGAGAGCGTGCATGAGAGAGCGAGCATGAGCAGGGGAAGGGCAGAGGGAGGGAGAGAGAGAGAGAAGCAGACTCTCCGCTGAGCAGGAAGCCCAACATGGGGTCAATCCCAGGACACCCGACTCGAGATCGTCCAGCTGCTTCACACATAACCCATGGCTTTGGGCGAGTCTTTGCACCGCATCTGAGATTCAGGGGCACAGCGCTTACCTGGGTAATCCTGCAGCGATCAAATGAGCTGCTGTGTTACTAAAGAAAGTGCCCAGTTCATGAAAAGTGTTAGGTAAATGGAAGAGCACACACTCTTACAACTCTGCTCGAAAATTCCCACTTCCTTCACAGGTGACTCAAAATAAAGTCGCTACTGTTAACACCTTATTTTTACATAGCCTTTTGCAGCTGTCTCATTTGATATCATAAATGGTATTCCTGTAAACGAGAAAACCAACACCCCCAGATTTCTTCTAAAGACTGTGGAAGGCCTTTTGAGCTTGGATGTGTGATGGGAACTCTGTCCAGGCTCTTTCCCTCCGGGAACAGGTGGAAGCCCCCCAGACCGTCCTCCGGTACACAAGCACGGTGGGTGTAGGAGTTATGTGTAAAGGCCAGGAGTATGTCCAAATCATTCCCATCGGTGATCCAAGAATTCTTCCTGCATTTGATGTTCTTGAGCTGGTCATAAACATGGACATAACCAGAGGTATTAGTTCCGTGACTTTAGGAATCTATGCATATGATGTTTTTATTTAATTAATTAATTTATTTACTTACTTTAGTGGGGGAGGGGCAGAGGGAGAAGGAGAGGGAGAGAATCTCAAGCAGCCTCCCCGTGAGCATGGAGCCCGACGCAGGGCTCGATCTCGGGATGCTGAGATCACGACCTGAGCCCTGACCAAGAGTTGGACGCTCAACCCACTGAGCTACCCAGGCACCTCCGTAATGACATTTTTATAACGGCGCATCTAGGTTACCGTGTTTAAGTAGACAGCTTCCACGGTGCAGAAATTTGTAACAAAGTCATTTCATAGTAAATTGTCAAGCGCATATCATCTGTAAGTCTTTGAAATATAAAATGTTTGATGTTTTTACAACTCTTTTCCTTAGTTATCTAGTGTTTATGTACATTTTGGTATCTGAAAAAGTCGTAAATTATAGAAATTATATACTATTAAAGAAGGGGTTCCATGATGCACTAGTAACAGGAGCCAATACTCTTGTGTCCTTTCCGCATGCTTGGCACCCCCCAGAAGCCTCTGCCCGTATTCACTCCTGTGATCCTCTGACAAGCCCCAGGAGACAGGCACTGTAAGACTCCCCCTTTACCTCTCAGGAAACCGAGGCACCAGGAGGTTAGATCGGTTGCCCGAGGAAGTGGCAGAGGTAGAATTTGAGCACGTGCACTGTGACCTTGGCACCCACCCCAGCCCTGAGCCACACCGTGGCTGGCTGGCTAGCCACATGCATAGAGTGAGTGTGGATTTCTGAACATTTCAGAAGTGTGTGGGGGGCAAATGAGGAATGCCTCAGAGCATTTTGAGACCCACTGTTAAGCTGTTCAGCACCTCAGCATCTCCCCTTTTTTGGTTTTCAGCTCTGGAACAACTACTTCCACCTGGCTGTCGCTTTCCTCACTCAGGAGTCCTTGCAACTGGAGAATTTTTCAAGCGCGAAGAGAGCCAAAATCCTTAACAAGTAAGTCTGCATCCAGTCCCGAAATCATGGGCAGGAGCCTGCAATTCTTAGCATCGTTTCTGCATAGTCTCTAAGCCAACTTGGTATGCAAATTGAGATGTGATAATCATGGTGTCATGAAAGGTCGGTTTCAAATCCCGAATCTGGTGTTGCCTTTTCTAACCCATGAATCAAGATCTAAAACTGCCGGGTTCATTCTGGTGAGTTCCGAGTCCGTGTAATTCACCACCATTAGCACCACACAGAATGGGAGTTTCAGGAGGATAATTGCTTCTGCTCTGCACCATTCTGATGTCTTTCCACATGTGCTTTTCTTTATCATCTACTTGTGCAGTGCTCCTTCGAGAAAGGAAGCATCTCGTGCAAGCTGTTGGCACAGTTGGGATTGTTGAAGAACTCCTTTAGAGTGAGAGCTGCCCGGGGTTTCCTCCTTTATGAGAGGCCACCCGTGTCGTGCTCTAGGTGGGAGATCCGAAGGGCTGGACTAGTCCTTGGATGATCCTAACAAACCTCTCGGAAGCCCCGTGTCCCTGCCCAGGTCCTTCAGCTCTGAGTCCTGCATGGCTCCTGGCCCAGGACAAAGAAAAAAAGAACCCTTGCATGCTTTCTTTCCACACTTTAGGTGCTCCGGAGGGTCTTGCGGCCTCTCTTTCTGCCTTGGTTTCCCTGACTTCTCTCTTCTCTGAGCGCCCCTTTTATAAAGACTTTAAAGATTTTATTTATTTATTTGACAGAGAGAGACACAGTGAGAGAGGGAGCACAAGCAGGGGGAGTGGGAGAGAGAGAAGCAGACTCCCCGCTGAGCAGGGAGCCCGATGCGGGGCTCGATCCCAGGATCCTCAGATCCTGACCTGAGCCGAAGGCAGACGCTTAATGACGGAGCCACCCAGGCGCCCCTATAAAGACTTGAGAGAAGAGTTCTCCTATTGCTCCCACATTGCCATGTCACCGGTCCCTGTGTGTCATTTCATAATTCCTCTGCTTTACGTTGACGTTTCCAAGGCTTTGCCCCTCCCTGACGTTAGTGACTCCAGAGGGCGTCTCAGAAGGTGACGAAAGCACTGCTCAGTGCCCCTCATGTTTTGTGAGTGCGTCTCTCACTTGCCACATCAAAGCATGTCATCCCTGCAGAGTAAGAATTGTGTCGGCAAATATTTATCGAACACGTATGCCAGTGACTTTCTAAGCACTCTGAGTGCATTTTTCATATATGGTCATTAAAACCAAAACAGAAACTGTTCATTGGGTTTCCTTCTCACCCTGACTTTCCAGAGGAGGAAGGTGAAACATGTTCTAAACAAGTCACATGGCCAGTGCCACACACCCGGTAATTCTAACCCAGGCAGTTCAGACCCCGAGATGTTCACCCGTGCTGCTCTTAGAACCTTAAATCCTTCCATTGTCCTGTCTACCTCAAGGTCAGCTTCCATCCGGTCATATTCCTTCACGCCTCCTCAGTTGGGTGGCTCCAGTGGGTTGGCCATGGATGCAGACAACTGTCCATTGTTCAGAAAAGGGGAATGCACCAGAAGGCTCAGGCCAAGCGGGTGCCCGCCGATGACTGCTGGGAAGGCAGAGCTGGCCTTCGCACAGCCCACGTGGGGTCTGACTGCCAGCCCCGGCTCAAGAGACAGACACCAGGTGGCACCTTCTGGGGACTGGCTCCATCGGGAAGCTTCCGCTTTGCCAAATTTACATCTTCTCAGGGCTCACATGAAGTGAGGGGTGGCGACTGGTGGTGGTTGCTGTCCTTCTTGATTCAATGCGCTCATGGTGGAAATTTCCATAGTAGAAGCAGAAATAACTGGCACACTCTGAGCACCGTACAACTTTCTCACAGCCAGCCCCGGACACCTGGGACACCTTGTTATCCAGTCCCGTGGAAGGACAGCTGGGCCATAGCAGGTGGATTCAATAACCTACGTGTGCGTGGGGGGTCACTGCGGGGGAATCCAGACCCAGCTCCAGCCGACAGCACAGCCCATTCTCTGCCAAGCGCACAGCACGGCCAACTCTTCAAGATGCCTGCAGGGCAAGAGAATTTAAACCAGAAATCTGTCTTAAAAGAGCTGGCATCTCTGTGAGGTTTTTAGAGTAAAACCATTGATTCTGAGCATTCTCCAGGCCAGGGCCGGGTGGCTTTGCACTGGACCTTCTTTTGTCATGTGAATGTTAACAGTCTAAGCGAAAGCCACGTCGATACATGCATTAACCACAGAGGGCCTTGACCGCCAAAGAAAACGTTTGCTTCCCACATAACCGTGTGCTTTCAGAGGCTCCAAAGCCAAGGAAAATGTAACACGGCTAGCTAGTGTCTCCCCTTCCGGAGCCGCAGGTCTTCTGCATTGAGCTCTGAGTCTTCTCTTCCTCATAACCGTGGCAATAAGAGACTCCAGATTTTCCCTTTGAAATTTTCTCATGGATTCCCCAAGGGGAAAAAAAAAAAAACATCCCAAGTGTTTTAGAAGTTGTCCTTGCAAGACTCTGGCAGGACGGCCTCAGCTCCTGTGCAGCCTGAGGGGCCCTCTCCCAGGGACCTAGGCTCAGTGTGTGGCCATGACAGGCCACCAGGGAGAAGTGTTCTCTGTGTCTGAGACCAGCGCTTGTGGCCCAGGAGGCCGTGTGGCTAGGATGTGTGGCAGGTTCAACAACACAATGCAGCAGGATGTGCTTGTATTCGTCATGCCTCTGTCTCTACCTCAAACACTTTGTAATCAGTGTGCCGTTTTATTTCTAAATACCAAAACCTATATAAGACATATTTGAGGTCATCCTACCAAAATGCTTAAATTTTCCCAGTGCCTAGAAAGGTTTTAATCTGCTTAAAATTGTGCTAGTGAAAAGGGCTTGAGTGCCTGCTCTGTGCTCAGGGTCTTGGTGCTCGGGACGCAGAGGTGAGAAGTTCACGGTCTCAGGCAGGTAGGGGTACGACAGTAACAGCGATCGCCTGAGGTGTCACTGCTCACCGGGTGCCTTGGCAGCCTGCAGATGGACGTTCGCGAGTGAACGCAAGGAGCCCCAAGGCCTCTGGTGGGAGGGGCTTCCAGGCTGGGTGGGGAAGGAGCAGGGAGGTTACCAGGTTGGCTAACTGAGCCACGGTCAACAGACCACCAATCCCCAAAGGGGACATCAAGTCCCAGAGGACATGGCCTGCTCCTTGAGCAGAGAGATGCTCTGGATTGTTGAAGTGTGAGTGAGTGGCTAGACCCTAAGGGCTTGGCATGGGCAGAGCGGGAGGCCCAGTGATCTGGGAATTGACCCCATGGGTCTCAGCAAAGGGCTGGGTGCTGACGCAGAGCACAGTGGAGGATAATTCACTTGGTTGTCTTTTTCTAGATGGAAAGCCTGCAGGCTCTGAAAGCAGAGCCATTGCCACACCCATTGCGGAGCCTCTGGCTGCCTCCCTTTGGGCCAGTGTACTGCTCTAGGGTTCCTGAAGCCAACCAAATGCATCTGTGTGAGGGCTTCACTGAGGACCCTCCTTCCCCCACACCCTTCACACCCCTGCCTACCCTTCTCTTCCTCTCTGCCAAGCCCGCAGCAACATCTGTCTGCCTGGCTGACAGCACGGTGGCCCCAGACAATAGAAAATCCCAGTGTCAGAAGATCTGCCTGTTCATTCCCTCTTGTGAAGCTCCCCATCCTCCTGATGACCTGGGTTGGGGAGATAATTAGGATATTCATCCCAGAGACTTTGCCCAAAGTGCATGGGAGTAACATAAAATAATGGGCCATACCGTGCAGAGAACTGATTATGTCAAACCCAAATTGAGTATAAGATTGTCCAATGAACCACAAAATAAATAACCACCAGGAATCAAAGTCTATAATAAGAAAATATATCTGACTCAGCCTTCAGACATCCTTGGTGCTAGGACTCCCAGCAAAGGACGGAGGTGTCACTGGCATTTGAAAACTGACCTTCACTTCTCCCCGCCCCACCCCCCCCACCCCCACCCCCAGCCTTTGACGTTACGGGGACTCAGGAAATATGAGTCAGATATAAAAAAGTTGGCTTTTCATTAGCAGCCAGCTTGACCGTGTTAGTATGCAGGACATGTGTGTCCTAGTGTGGGACAGTGTGACCCATGACTGCAAACAGGCTTCTGTGTTCAGGACCAGACTCAGTCCTGGAAGAGAAAGGGGGTTCGGGCACTGGGCGTCCGGCATATCCAAGCATAAAAGGCTCACTTAAAATTTTCAGCCCGAGAATCAAGTTTAAGCGCCAACCCCAAGTTAGTGCATTTGAACCTATGTGCAGAGACCACCCTCCATGCAGACCCTCTCCTCAGTTGGTCTCCACGCTATTTCTCATCTTTATTTACCTATTTATATGTATTTTTTTTGTGTGTAGAATTCACACCTTCTGAGAGGACAGGTTTCACAACCAGGTCGAAATTCCACATAAACAGAGATCTCCATCTTTCCGAGTGCAGGGTTCTGGGGTTTTCGTGCATTAAGTCAAACTGAAGACATTGCTTTTAGGGAAACTGAAAGAAACAACGCTGCCACAAGCCCCGCTTTGCAGCGTGGGATGATCTGAAGCTGGGACTGTGTGGACCCCAGATTATAACAAGAAGTAGTTTAGAAAAAGTAGAGCTTGTGTTTATGCTTATTGCTTAAGAGACTCCAATTATTCAGAATAAGTTCACTCTAAACCCAGAATTAGCAGGGCTCCCAGGGAGACAGATTTAGCAAACGGTGACCCACGGCAAGTCGCTCTTGGCAAAGCTAAGTGTCCTGTGTGCCTGAGCGACTCTGTGCCCCGTCCAACGCAGTAAACCTGGGGCAGCGCAGGACGCCATGACACATCCAAGCCCTGCGTGTAGTAAACTTTATTCCCGGGGTCACAGATGGGATGCCACCTCCTGTCACCTCCCCCAGGGACTTGCCATTAAACGAAACGTGTCTCACTTCACGCATCAAGTCCCTCCAACGACCTCTGCGTCGGCCTGCATCCCTCAACCTCCGCCCACTCCCCCCACGGTCTCCCTCTTTCCTTTGTTCCCAGAACCCCATGGAGGTTTTCCTCCTCCTCTTTGGCCTCTCTGTTCCCTTGTCAGGCTCATAATCCTCTTTCAGACCTTTCAGTGGGGGCGCTGCTCATGCCTTGGTCTTGGGTCTTCTCATTCCATCCTCCCTCCTTCAGACGGCGTGTTTGAGCTCTGCATCTCAACCCTTCCTTGGGTCACGATGGCAGCTTAATGGGTGTTTGTATTTGTTTCCTACAATCATCTGCCCTCACAGTCAACACACCCTGGGTGGCTAAAAACTACAGGTATTTGTTGTCTCACAGTTCAGGGGGCCAGGAATCCAAATCAAGGTGTGGGCAGAGGTGGTTCCTTCTGCAGACTCAGAGGGAGAACGTGTTCTGTGCCTCCCTCGGCTGGTGGTTGTCCCCAGGCCTTGGCGCTCCTGGTTTCTGTCTGCATCCCTCCACGCTCTTCCTTATGGCCTCATGGGGCCTTCTTTCCCATGTCTCCAAATCTTCCTCCCCTTGTAAGGACACCAGTCCTTGGACTCAACTCCCCTCCAACCTCTGCAATCCAGTATGACATCATCTTAACCTGGTGACACCTGCAGAGACCCTCTTTCCAGATAGGGTCACCTTCGCAGGTCCCGGGGCTTAGGACTTGAACATGTTATTGTGGAGGACACAGTTCAACCCACAACAGTCATGCCCAACATACTTTTTTTTTTTTCCCCAGTGAAATAGAATATAAGAAAGCATCAGAATTTACTGACGGTAGTGAGGTTAAGTGTTATTTCATAAAACAGTTGCACACAGATATTTATATGTGTGCTGGTTAGTAAAGTAAAATGTATTTCTTATTTCAAAAGCATTTTGAAACTTAAACTTTAAAAAGCTGCCTCTGTGGCCTTTGTTCACACTGCATCCCCCTTGGTCTCTTAAGAGGAAGGAGCGGGTTCTCTGTCCTCCAGCCACATGTCCTCTTTTGGTCCATATCCTTACCTACCCACTCCCTGCCTCGGGGCCTTTGCACCTGCTGGTCCATCTGCCTGGAACGCTCTTCCTTCCCTTCGGCCTGGATTACGTCTTTCCTTCTTCAAATCTGAGGGTAAGTTGTTGTCCCAGAGAATTGCCGTGGCCAGCCTAGGCCCACTGTTCACTCTCACGCCTCTGCTTTTCCTAAAGGGCCATGATCGCAACCTTCATAGAACTGTTGGATGTACATATGTGTGTTGATCTAGTGTGATTATTTGTTTAATGTCCATCTCTGCTACCATGCTAATAGCCCCCCAGGGTCTGTGGACTTTGTTCTCCATGTTATGTTAATATTCCCCTATTAGCTCTGAGCCTGGCCTCTAGTGAGTATTCAGTAATTAATGAATCAGTGAGTAATGTTCCCCGAACGAATCAATGTAAATGACCATCATAACCATGAGGGGGTTGCTGTGATGAGGCCTAGTGTGAGCTTTAAAGGAAGCACCTAGCCTGGCTTAAGTGCTCACTAGGACATATGAGGACATCATCTCTCTCATTCTCAAAAACTCCTGGGAGATGAACATCATACGTCATTATCCCAGTACTATCTATGAGGAGACTGAGGGTCAGAGTGGCCAGGTAACTTGCCCACAGTGCTGAGGTTTGGGCTCAGGTCAAGCCTTATCCCTAAGCCTGGACTATCTGTGGTGGACATGGGTTTTCTGCTTCTTGGGTGAAGATTCACGAAACCAGGTGCTGAGATAAGGCCCTGGAGACCTGATTCATGCTATCTTAGCTCAGAGTTACAGACCTGGACGTGGGATCCTGTATTCACTTGGGCTGGGGGAAGCTTGCCTCCTTGAGGCCCCCTTGGGCCCCATTTTGCAGGTGCTGACTTGTAGGTGGGCACGGTGGGCGGGTGTGATGGGAAACGCCAGGTGGCTCCAGCTCCCTGCTGCTGTGGCTTTGTGGGGTCAGGCACGGCGGTTCGCCACCGGGACTCTCTGCGTCCTCAGTGGGAGGAGGGCCACGACAGCTTCCCTCTGCTCACCCGGTGGTCTTGTTGCCAGAGTCAGATGAGACCGGTGCCCTTTGAGAGATGTGACACAGCACTGTGCCATGCCGTCGGGGAGATCCGGACTTGCCAGGCCCGGAGATGTGTGCCGTAGGGCAGAGCATGGGCCTTGGTGGGTTCTCTTTCTTCTCTCCTTGCCTATGACTTGGCCGAGTCCTTTGGCTTCTCCCTCTAGGACCGGTTCTGTTCCCTCAAGTGTAAGTTGTGAGAGTTGAACTCAGCTCTGCTGCGTAAGGCTGCCACCAGCCCTGGGAGCCTGTGAGCAGGTAACGGGCATGAGCCCCGATACTCTCCATCACTGCCGCCCTCTCCTCCCCAGGAAGAAGGTGCGGACAGTTCGGGAATCCCTCTCGAGTTCTGGTGGTAGCTGTAACCTTATTGGGGGACTACGCTGAGATGTGTAGAGACTCAGCAGAGCTGCTTGTCCTGTTAAAACTAAAGATCAGTCTCGCTGCCAGAGAGTCAGTCTTGCCCCTCACCTTCTAGCTCCTTGCTCCCCTTGTTGTTACCTTTGTTCTGGCCCTAAGCACCTTTGACTTATTTGGGTATGAAAATGGCATTTTTGGCCCCTTGCTACAACAGGCCTGACTCTAGTGAGGGATGTGCTCTCGGATCTTCGCTGAGAACCCTGTCCTCAGACACTGTGAAGGCATGTCATTTTCCACATCTGGGGCAGGATGGCGTAACTAGAAAACGCGAATCCGACACCCGTGAGCATCGCACCCTCTGTCAGCACCGTAAGGAAAGGGGCCGTCCAGGGAGAGGCAGGAGTGTTGGAGGCTCCCTGTCCACATGGGCCTGCTGGCATCCAGGTGTCAACCCCAGCTCTGGAGAAATGGCAAATCACTGTAGGTCAGCAGACGTTGTGTCACTCCGGCATGACCCAAACCGCCTAGCATTGTAGCCATTTTTCTTTTGTGAGAGAGATTCTTCCAGGATGAGAAGGAATCGCTTGGCTATTGGAAGAGTATTTAAAGCTTGAGTTCGTCGGTCAGTGGCAGGCCAGCTGCTGTGACCAGCTCGCCCCACCTCCACGGCGGGGGCTCTGGCCGGCTCTGTGTGCCGAGATCTGAACGCGTACTGGCAGGCCCTGGGGGGTCCTGCCTGTGATGCGGAGCTCCCTGGCTCACCAGATGCCCACTCTCCTGAGAGACGACTCGTCCACCTGCACAGCGAGCACGAGCACTAGGTCTGAGCGTGGCTGTACGCTCTGCAGTGCTTTTCCCCGGGGGATGCCGGGAGGAGGCCTGCCGTATCCTCTCCCGGTCTGGGCTGCTGGGAGCCCTCTGTTCATGTGTGCAGGAGCAAAATGGGAATTGGGAAACAGGATCAACAAGCCCAGGAAGGGTGCACGACTAAAGAGGGCTTCGATGATCGGGACCGTGGGCGATGTGGGGTGCCACTTAAGACATTGGGGGATGCTCTTCTCTCACCCACGGGCTTGGTCCAGTAGCTTTGCCGACAGTGGACAGGCCTCTCCTCACTGTGGCACTGGTGATGGGTGCGTTCCCTGGCCGAAATCCCCCCTCTCTCACTCACCGAATTGACCCACATCAGCACTCACCTGGTTGTCAGGCTGGGCTGGAAGGTAACTCGTTTACCCCCGAGGACAAGCTTGTCCTCACAGGAAGGGGCTGACGCTCCCAGGTCAGTTGCTCTGTCTGTACACAGGGCCATGGGTCCATGGAGGTACAGCGGCCGCGGGGTGACCTCTGTGACAGGGTTGCCAGGCCGGTTTCCCTGGTGGAGAGCATGTTGGTCTGCAGCCCTCTCCTGCCGAAAGTGACAGACGGGTGCTTAGGGCCCTAGAGACTTTTATAAGGTGGCAGCCAGCTATGGTTGTTGGTTTACCAGGAGGCTCTTTGCCTTGAGAGCCACAACCAGGTCATCTGTAAACAGCTTCCCTTTCCACATCGGCTGACGTGAGGGCGAACAGAGCAGCTTGATGACCCAGCTGCTAAACTGTAATCCTGTACGATAATTGTGCAAATTATTATTTTTAATATAATCAGTTTTTTTCCTTAGGCAATAAAGGAAAAAGTTAAATTGCTCACAAACTAATAAACGTTTATCTTCTGAAGCATCAAATTCTGTTTACTCATGAAACACCTCCTCTGCTGAACCTGTGGGAGGAAAATTAACATTTATTTTCCCCGATAAACAAAAACAGGGGAATATTTGTTGACATCTTTTGGTGCAGAGCCCTTCCTTACATTGAAAATGCTAAAGAAGGATGGGAGATATTTGAAAGAGGCCTTCCCAGCCCTGATTGTCCACTCCAGGGTTAATTTTTTAACATGTGAAAGCTGCTTTTGTGAGCAGGGTTGGAGGATGTCATTTGGTGTCTCCAATGCTAAGAGCACACTCTGAAAAGGAGCTCCCCCTCAGGCCAGGGAGCCAGGGCCTCCTTCTCTTGCCATTAGAGACTGAAGAAGGAAAAGAAGGAAAATACTGCCCTTACTTTCTGCCACCTTGCTCATGTTCCCACGGGGTGGGGGTGGGGGGTGGGAAGAGTGTTACATAATCTGGGGTGATGGGGTGATGGGTAGGTGAGGCTCCCTCTGCTGGATTCTTCCTCCTTCAGTTCTCTTTGGTGGCTAGAGAAGCTTTGATACTCTCTTTGTTTGTCTCCGGGCTGGGAGACTTTCATTGCATTTAAAAATAATCTAAGTCTGATTTCCAAATGCTCAAAAGAGTGACTTAGCATTTCCCCTGTCCTCGGTTCTCAGGTATGGAGATATGAGGAGGCAGATTGGCTTCGAAATCAGAGACATGTGGTACAACCTTGGTGAGTAGCTGGGATTTCCGGGGAATCGTGGTGACTGTCATGAAACTGTGGTGGGTGATGCCATTGGCCCTGGCTGTCAGTGCTGGGGCGTCTTGGAAATCTGAATTGCTTCTCTTCCTCAGAGAGCGATTGCTACCTTTGCAGTAGTTGTTTTCTGTAAATAAGAGGTAGGAAGAAAATCCGATCGGTGGGGCAAATAGAAAAATCAGTAGAGTGCCCCCTTATGTCAGGTGAACACAACTCTGCCTTGAAATTTCATTGCTTCCGGGCATCACTAACATTCCCCCAGCTTCTCAGGCATCAAACCAGGTAGTTCATCCCACTGTCACAAGGCTCACTGCTTCTTGTCTTCAGCTTGACACAGTCTACCCTCAAAGGGTTTTTTTTTGCCTACTCAAAACTGGGCCCTGTATATAGGTACACTGCCAGTGGGTGGTGGTAGTAGAACATGCTTGCGCACTGAAAATACACTAGGGGCTTCATGTGTGAAGATGAGAAATTAACATAGGTGCTTGCCGCTACAAACTTCCCTCTTACTACTGCTTTTCTTGCATCTCAAACATTATGATAGTTATTTTGTTTTCATTTTCATTTGTCTCAATATATTTTCTGATTTCCCACTTGATGTCTTTGACCCATGAGCAGGCTTTATAATTTCCTCTATTTGTGAATTTCCCAGTTTTCCTTCTGTTTTTGATTTCTGATTTCATTCCATTGTTGTTGGAAAAGATACTTGGTATGATTTCAGTCTCCTTAAATTTGTTAAGAATTGTTTCATGACCTAAGACGTGACATATCTGAGGGACGCTCCTGTGCTCTTGAGAAGAACGTTATTCTGTTGCTGCTGAGTGAAATGTTCTGTGTATCTGTTAGGTCCATTTGGTCTATAATATTGCCTTGATCAGTAAATATAAACAACCTAACTTTACACCGCCAGGAACTAGAAGGAGCACAAAGCCTTAAGCCAGCAGAGGGAAGGAAATAATAAAGATTAGAACAGAAATAAATGAAATCGAGAATGAAAAAAACAATAGAAAAATTCAACACAACTGGAGTTGGTTTTTTGAAAAGAAAAAAAAATTGACCAGCCTTTAGCTAGATTAACTAGGAACAGAGGAGATGTAGGTAAATAAAATCAGAAATGGAAGCAGAGCCATTACAACTGATACCATAGAAATAAAAAGGATCAAAAGAGGCTATTATGAATAATTATATGTCAACCAACCTTGAAGAGATGGACAAAGTCCTAGAAACATGCAGCCTACCAAGGCTGGATTATGAAGATACAGAAAATCTGAACAGACAGATGGTAAGCAATTAGCAATCGAGAACTTCCCAACAAAGAAAAGCCCAGGACCAGATAGCTTCATTGATGAATTCTACCCAACATTTAAAGAATTAATGCCAGTCCTTCTCAGACTCTTCCAAAACATTAAAGAGAAGGGAACACTTCCAAACTCATTTTATGAGGCAAGCTTTACCGTGATACCAAAGCCAGATAAAGCACTACAAGAAAAGAAAACTATAGGCCACTGTCTCTGACGAACGTAGATGTAAAAATCTGCAAGAAAATACTAGCAAACTAAATTCAGCAGCACATCAATGGGATCATACCCCATGGTCAAGTGGGATTTATCCCTGGGATACAAGGAGGGTCGCACATACACAAGGTAACAAAGGTGATACACTCCATTAACAGATTGAAGTATAAAAGTCACATGATTATATCAATAGATACAGAAAAAGCATTTGATGAAATTTAGTACCCTTTCATGTTAGAAACTCAACAAATTAGGTATAGAAAGAACGTACCTTAATGTAATAAGGGCCGCATAGGACAAACCCACAGCTAAGATGTTCAGGGGTGAGGAACTGAAAGCTTTTCCTCTAAGATCTGGAACACAAGGGGTCCCACTCTCTCACTCCTCTTCAGCATAGTACTGGAAGTCTCAGCCATAGCAATTAGGCAAGAAAAAGCAATAAAAGCCATTGAGACCACAAAGGAAGAAGTGAAATTATGTTTGCGGAAAACTCTAAAGACTTCATCAAAAATGCTATTAGGACTAATAGATTAAGAAAACTTGCAGGATACAGAATGAATGTGGAAAACCAGTTGCATTTCTATACACTTAACAACTATCTGAGAAGGAAATTAAGAAAATAATCCCGTTCACAATAGCATCAAAATGAATAAACTACTTAAAAGTAAACTTAAAACAAGGAGGTGAAAGACCTGAACAGTGAAAGGTACAAAGAGTCTATGACAGAAATGAAGGAAGAAACAAATATATATAAAGGCATCTCATCTTTGTAGAGTAGAAGACTTGATAGTGTTAAAATGTCCATATTACCCAAAGCAGTCTGTAGGTTCAATGCTATCTCCATCAAATGCCATCCAATGGCATTTTCACAGACATTGAAAAAATGATTCTAAAATTCACATGGAACCACAAAAGACCCTAAGTCACCACAGCAGTCCTGACAAAGAACAAAAGTGGAGGCATCATACTTCCTGACTTCAAAATATATTACAAATCTACAGGAATCAAAACACTATAGTACTGACATAAAGGCAGACGTAGAGATCAATGGAACAGGATAGAGAGCTCAGAAATAAACCTGCACATATACAGCCACCTGATCTTCGACAAGAGAGCCAGGAACATACAATGGGGAAAGGATCACCACTTTAATAAATGTTGTGAATACTGGATATCCAGATGCAAAAGAATGTAACTGGACCCTTGTCTTAACATCATACCCCCAAACCAACTCAACTAAAGACTTAAACATAAGACCCCCAAACTGTAGAACTCTGAAAGAAACCACAGGAGGAAACCTTCTTGGTACTGGTCTTGGCAATGATTTCTTGGAAAGGACAGCAGAAGCACAGGCAACAAAAGCAAACATAGACAAGTAGGACTCCATCAAACTAAAAAGCGCCTGCACAGTAAAGGCAACAACAAAATGAAAGACACCCCGTGGAATGGGGGAAAACATTTGCAAACCATATATCTGCTACAGGGTTAATTTACAAAATATATAAGGAAATCCTACAACTCAATAGCAAAAAACCCCACCAATTAAAAGATGGGCAAAGGACTTGTCTTGACATTTCTCCAAGGAAGAAATGGCCAATAGGTTTATGAAAAGATAAGCAACATCACTGACCATCAGGGAAGTGCAAATCAAAACCACGGTGAGATGTCCCCTCACGCCTGTTAGGATGGCTATTATGAAAAAAGTAAAAGATAAGTGTCAGCCAGCGGTACAGAAGTTTGAACACTTGCACAGGGTCGCTGAGAATGTGGGAAACAGCATGGAGGTTTCTCAAAAAGTTAAAAATAGAACTCCCATATGATCCAGCCATCTCTCTTCTGGGTGTACATCCAAAAGAATTGAAATCAGGATCTTGATGAGGTGTTTGTACACCCAGTTCCTGGCAGCATTATTTATAATAGCCAAGAAATGGAAACAACCTAAATGCCCATTGATGGATGGATGGATATAGAAAATGTGGTATATGTATATTCATTGGAATATTATTCAGCTTTACTTTTTTAGTAAAAAGGAAATCTTGCCAAATGCAAAAACATTCCACTCGCATGAAGTTTCTAAAGAGTCATAGTCTTAGAAGCCGAGAGTAGAACGGTGGTTGCCAGGGGTAGGGGTGAATGGGGGGGAGAAGGGAATGGGGAGGTATTGGTCAAAGGGTACGGACTTTCAGTTAGGCAAGATGGGTAAGTCTAGAGATCTGCTGTAGAACATAACACCCAAAGTTAACAATACTGTGTCCTACATTTAAAAATTTGTTAAGAGGGTAGATCTCATCTTAAGTGTTCTTATGACAATAAACACTAAAGAGGAAAAATAATATAATTAATAAAAAATTTTTTTTAAGATTTTTTTAATTTACTTATTTGAGAGAGAGAGAGTGAACGAGAGCATGAGCAGGGGGGAGGGTCAGAGAGAGAGGGAGAAACAGGCTCCCTGCCCAGGGGGCAGGGATGCGGGACTCGGTCCCAGGACCCCAGGATCGTGACCTGAGCCGAAGGCAGGTGCTCAACCAACTGAGCCACCCAGGAGCCCCAATAAAATTTTATTAATTAAAATAACATGGAATTCTCTATTAAAATGTTAGTCACTATGCCATGTAATTCTGTTAGGTAAGCTCCTTAAAGGAATAAAGAACTGATAATTGGGCATCCTGTTACCATCTCGAATGGGTCCTCGATGAACCCGCCTCTCTCCTGGCACCTGTTCTCCACTGTCAGCTTGCTTTGTGCTGAGACGTTCAGGCACCTTTCTTCAGCCTCATAGAGGGTCCTGTGCAAGACTTCTGTGGCATTTCCTCCCTGAGCCTGCAGGGCCCTGTTTGATTTGCTTAGCTTGGCCCACGAAGCCTGTAGTGGCTACAGAGGGCCTCCCCTCTCCCCAGTGACTGTTCTCTGCAAGGAGGCGGGTATCTTTCCACTTCTCCTTCTAGTTACCCCACAGCACCTAGGTTAAATTTGTTTCCCCATGGACTGGAGCAACTTAGTTGCGCCCCACCCTGCTCGGTTCTTGAATAGATTCTTGCTGTCTGTGTCGTGGCTAGGGACCTTGGCTGGAAAGATGCCCTGGCCTATCTGTATTCCTTGGGAGCAATGAAACAGGGTAATAAAAACAGAACATGGTTTTTCCTGAAGGTGGGGAACTGGACTCCATTGCCCTCCCGAGTATCCTCCGAACGGACAGGGGTGGAGGTTTGGGGACCTTGCCTGCAGTCTGCCTTTGCGGTCAGCAAGTTCACGGCCGCCTGTTTTCAGCCCGAGCCAGGTTTCCTCACAGGGGGCTTGCTGGCTCATCCTTCTTGAGTTCCCAGATGTCAGCAAACGTGTAAAGGCAGGCCCTATCACTTCTCCAGGGAAAGTTAGAATTTCTAAATAATCCTTTGTCCATCTGTTTATATTAAGGATGGAGTCTTTTTCAAATGGGTGTTACATGAAAAATAAATGCAG